TTTAGTCAAAAATACAGACAACCCCAAGGTGTCCTTGGTGGCCAAACTGGCCCTCCTTTCCCCCCAAATCTCTTCCCTTTTGAGTAGGAAATGCAGACACCCCAAGGTTTCCTTTTGGGGCCAAACTGATCCTCCTTGTCCCCCTCTCCATCTTCCTTTTGAGTGCAAAAGACAGACGACCCCAAAGTTTGCACCACAATACGACTGGTACTCTCTCTTTCTGTCTCCTGTTTCCTTTGTAGTAGTAAACGCAGACAACCCCAAGGTTTCTTTTGGGGTCAAATGGATCCTCCTCTCCCCCAAATCCCTCCTTTTCCTTCGAGTAAGAAATGCCGACAACCCCAAGGTTTCCGATTGGGGTCAGACTGGTCCTCCTCCTTCTCTCCATTTCCCTTTTTAGTGCAAAACACAGACAACCCTAAGGTTTCTTTTGGGGTCAAATGGGTCCTCCTCTCCCCCAAATCCCTCCTTTTCCTTCGAGTAAGAAATGCCGACAACCCCAAGGTTTCCGATTGGGGTCAAACTGGTCCTTCTCTCCGTCTCTGTTTCCCTTTTCAGTGCAAAACACAGACAACCCTAAGATTTTATTTAGGGTCAAACTGGCCCCCTTTCCCCCCTCAAACTGATCCTCTTCCTCTCAGTCTCTCTTTTTAATGCAAAACACAAGCAACCCCAAAGTTTGCATTCAAATCAGACTGGTCCTCCTCCTCCTCCTCTCCATCTCTCTTTTCCTCTGAGTGCAAAACACAAAAATCCCCAAAGTTTGCACTAGAATCAGAGTGGTCCTCCAAGGTTTCCTTGGGTCAAACTGGCCCTCCTTTCTCCTCAAATCTCCTCCCCTTTTAGTAAGAAATGCAGACGACCCCAAGGTTTCCAATTGGGGTCAAACTGGTCCTTCTCTCCGTCTCCATTTCCCTTTTTAGTGCAAAACACAGACAACCCTAAGGTTTTATTTAGAGTCAAACTGGCCCCATTTCCCCCCTCCATCTCCCTTTTATTTTTTAGTGCAAAGCACAGAAAACCCCAAAGTTTGCATTAGAATCGGACCCGTCCTCTTCCTCTCCATCTCTCTTTTCATTTTGCTGCAAAACATGGAAAAACCCAAAGTTTGCACAGGAATAAGACTGGTCCTCTTCTTCCTCTTCATCTCTGTCTAACTTTTATTTATAGTGCAAAACACAGAAAACCCCAAAATTTGCACTAGAATCAGACTGGTCCTTTTCCTCTCCCTTTTATATTTTAGTGCAAAACATAAACATCCCCAAAGTTTGCATTAGAACCAGACTGGTCCTCCTCCTCCTCTCCGTCTCTCTTTTTGTTTGAGTGCAAAACATGGAAAAATCCCGAAGTTTGCACTAAAATTAGACTGGTTCTCTTCCTCTCTGTCTCTGTTTTATTTTTTTCGTGCAAAACACAAACATTCCCAAAGTTTGCACTAGAATCGGACTGGTTCTCCTCTCCGTCTCCCTTTTCCCTTTGTAGTTGGAAATGCAGTCAACCCAAGGTTTCTTTTGGGGTCAAGTTGGTCCTCCTTTCCCCCAAATCTCCCTTTTCCTTTGAGTAAGAAATACAGACATCCCCAAGGTTTCCCATTGGGGTCAAATTGATTCCCTTCCTCCCAGTCTCCCTTTTTAGTGCAAAACACAGGCAACCCCAAAGTTTGCATTTGAATCAGACTGGTCCTCTAAGGTTTCCTTGGGTCAAACTGGGCCTCCTTCCCCACCAATTTAGTACAAAACACAAAAAACCCAAAGTTTGCACTAGAATTGGACTGGTCATCCTCGTGTCCACCTCCCTTTTCCTGTTTTTTTAGTGCAAAACACGGAAAACTCCAAAGTGTGCACTAGAATCAGGCTGGTCATCCTTGTGTCCACCTCCCTTTTCCTTGGGTGATTTTTGTGTTTTGGACTCAAACAAAAAGAGAGAAGGAGAGGAGGAGAAATGCAGAAAACCCCCCAAGTTGGCATGAGGATAAGACTGGTCCTCCTCCTCCTCCTCTCCTCCGCCTCCCTTTCCCTTTGTTTCGGAAAGGCAGACAACCCCAAGGTGTTCCTATTGGGATCACACGTCTCTTCCTCCTCCTCCTCCTCCTCTCCACTTCCCTAAATCCCCTCCTCTGCCTCGTCTACACTCAGGGCCAGCCCTAGGTACATTTCAAGTGTAAGTGGGGGCGCCTCAAGAGTGCCCTTGGGGATTGGCGCTGTACGCAAATGCGTATCTTGCCTATTTCTTCAGCCGCCCCTGCTGATGCTAGATCGTAATCTTAAAAGGTGCCATTCCCTCTGCTACTGAAAATAAACTCTGGTGTTTTTTCTTAAACCCTTGATACATTATTCCAAACATATAATATTATCCATGCTACTCTGGATCTGTCCAACACTACACTGCCCTATGATGCAGGTTCAGAGTGCATTTGAACGGCATGATACACGTCTGCGCTGCCCTAGAATGCTTCATGCGACTGCATTATAGTGCAGTGCAGATGGGGCCGCAGATAACCCCAAAGGTTTACATTGGGGTCAAACTCTCCTACCCCTTTTAGTAGGAAATGCAGACGACCCCAAGGTTTCCCATTGGGGTCAAACTGGGATTCCTCCTCCTCCTCCTCCTCTCCATCTCCCTTTTTCCTTTTTAGTGCAAAACACAGAAAACCCCAAAGTTTGCATTAGAATAGGACTGGTCCTCCTCCTCCTCCATCTCCCTTTTCCTTTTCAGGCGAAAATACAGACAACGCCAAGGTTTCCATTGGGGTCCAGTTGGTCCTAATCTCATCCCTTTTTAGTAGGAAATGCAAACAACCCCAAGGTTTGCATTAGGGTCAAACTGGGCCTCCTCCTCCTCTCCATCTCTCATTTCTTTTTAGTGCAAATCCCAGAAAACCCCAAAGTTTGCATTAGAATCAGACCGGTCCTCCTCCTCTCCATCTCTCTTTTTGTTTGAGTGCAAAACATGGGAAACCCCCCAAATTTTGCACTAAAATCAGACTGGTTCTCTTCCTCTCTGTCTTCCTTTTATTTATTTATTTTTAGTGCAAAACACAAACATCCTCAAAGTTTGCACTAGAATCAGACTGGTCCTCCTCCTCCTCTCTGTCGTCCTTTTAGTAAAACGCAGATGTCCCCCATGGTTTCCTTTGGCCTCAAACTGGCCCTCCTTTTCCTTTCTATCTTCTTTTTCTTTGTTCTTTTAGTGCAAAACACAGAAAACTCCCCAAACATCCCCAAAGTTGGCACTAGAATCGGACAGGTCATCCTCATGTCCACCTCCATTTTCCTGGTTTTTTTAGTGCAAAACACATAAACCCCCAAAGTTTGCACTAGAATTGGGCTGGTAATTCTCGTGTCCACCTGTTTTCCTGTTTTTTTTTTTTTAGTGCAGAACACAGAAAATCCCGAAGTTTGCGCTAGAATTGGACTGGTCATCCTCACGTCCACCTCCGTTTTCCTGTTTTTTTTAGTGCAAAACACAGAAAACCCCGAAGTTTGCACTAGAATTGGGCTGGTCATCCTCACGTCCACCTTCCTTCTGTTTTTTTTAGTACAAAACACGAAAAACCCCAAAGTTTGCACTAGAATTGGACTGGTCATCCTCGTATCCACCTCCCTTTTCCTGTTTTTTTAGTGCAAAACATGGAAAACTCCAAAGTGTGCACTAGATTCAGGCTGGTCATCCTCACGTCCACCTCCCTTTTCCTCTTTTTTTTAGTGCAAAATATGGAAAACCCCTAGAATTGGACTGGTCATCCTCGTGCCCACCTCCCTTTTCTTGTTTAGTAAGAAATACAGAAAACCCCCAAGTTGGCATGATGATAAGACTGGTCCTCCTCCTCCTCTCCTCTGCCTCCCTTTCCCTTTATGTCGGAAAGGCAGACGACCCCAAGGTGTTCCTATTGGGATCACACGTCTCTTCCTCCTCCTCCTCCTCCTCTCCACTTCCCTAAATCCCCTCCTCTGCCTCGTCTACACTCAGGGCCAGCCCTAGGTACATTTCAAGTGTAAGTGGGGGCGCCTCAAGAGTGCCCTTGGGGATTGGCGCTGTACGCAAATGCGTATCTTGCCTATTTCTTCAGCCGCCCCTGCTGATGCTAGATCATAATCTTAAAAGGTGCCATTCCCTCTGCTACTGAAAATAAACTCTGGTGTTTTTTCTTAAACCCTTGATAAATTATTCTAAACATATAATATTATCCATGCTAGTCTGTCTTGCACCTCAGATTAAGCTTCACCTTGCTCTCAATCACCACCAGACCACGGCTGTAAGATTTATAGTTTATTGTAAGGTTTCCAAAAGAAGGCAAAGGTTAAGTCAATACAAAGTTACAAAGTTCCGGTAAAATGCACAGTACAGTTCCAGAAACCCTTAAGAGAAAATCAAGATAAACAAGAATCATGAAGCAGGAAGCACAAACCCTGTGACAAGCAACTTAGTCCCAAAAGCAGCACGAAGAAACCCAGGCTCCAAGCCTCCTGTCTCCCAATGCAGGATCATGAAACTGCTAGCAGAAAGCCACATTGAAACTGACAGCTGTGAATCGCCAGTGAAAGCCCTAAATACTTTTACACATCAAAACAATCTACTTTCCCACTGCTCCCTTGACCCATCGCTGACCTAACTTGGCAGCGATCCGCGAGCTCCTTCTCACAGTTTCGTTATCCCTTTGAAGCAGCACCTGGCCCTCCTCCTTATCAGCTGCATTCCTGTCCTGTGAGAACTGCTTCTCCAACTCGACTGCAGGCTGAACCACAACACTCTGGATCTGTCCAACACTACAACTACACTGCCCTATGATGCAGGTTCAGAGTGCATCTGAACTGCATGATACGAGTCTGTGTTGCCCTAGAATGCTTTTGAGACTGCATTATAGTGCAGTGTAGACAGGGCCGCAGACAACCCCAAAGGTTTTCATTGGGGTCTAACCCTCGTACCCCTCTTTAGTAGGAAATGCAGCAAGCCCCATCTGCCCTATAAATGCAACCCAATGGAGCTAAACTGCTTTAGGAAGTTGCATGATAGAGCAGCTGAGGCGGGGCCACACAAAACCTTTGGGGTCCTCCTTCCTTTTCTGTTTCCTTCCTTCCCCTTTATTTCCTATCCGTTCACTAGGACAAGGGAAACCAATCCTCATCATATCAGCAAGCCATTTCTGTCCTTCCTTCCTTCCTTCCTTCCTCGCAGGACGGTTGTTGTTTTCCTCCAGTTTGCAGCAATAGGTTCTGAATTAACCCCAAGGAAGAGTTGCTTTTGAGTGGGAAATACAGACAACCCCACTTTTTCCAGACTGGCCCTTTTTCCCCTTCCTTACCCATCCAATAGTAAATGTACTGAAGGCGTTCCAGTCCTTCCTCGCAGGGCTGTTGCATTTTTCTCCCCCGCTTTGGAGCAATGGGTCCCAAGCCAAGATACTGGACCAAATAGGGTCCATTTGCACCGCTATTTCCTACATTTGGACTTTTGCAATGACTAGCGTAGCCTTCCATCCGCTCCAGGCTCTAGTCCGAACTGTTTCTTTGCACTTTTTGGAGGGGTCTCCCTTTTCTCTCTATCCAAACCCATCATCCCACAAAGACATTGCGGTTCTCTAATACGAGCCCTCCCATAGCTTTCCATTGGGACCCAAC